AGAAGCCATGGGTTTTCATACAAGTCAGATTTATTTACACACACACACACACACACACACACACACACACATTTTTTTTTTCAAGACAGGTTTTTTTTTTTGTGTAGTTTTGGTGCCTGTCCTGGAACTCACTCTGTAGACCAAGCTGGCCTCAAACTCACAGAGACCTGCCTGGCTCTGCCTCCCGAGTGCTGGGATTAAAGGCATGCGCCACCACCACCCGGTGACTTATTTATATTTTTATTTACTTATTATTATTGTTTTTTGGACAAGGTCTCACTATGTAGACCAGGATGGCCTGTAACTAATAGAAATCCCCTTGACTTTGTCTCCTGAATGTTAGGAATAAAGACCTGTGCCACCACACCCAGCCTTAAAAGTCAGATTTATAATAGCATTACTTGCATACATAAAAGTCCTTTCCCAGGCATGCAGTTTATGAGGTTTAAAATTATTAGTTATTTTTAATTTCTAGTTATGTATATATATGCATAGCTGAGAGTGGGTTTGTGCATGTGAGTGCAGTGCCCATAGAGGCCAGAAGGGGGCATCTGATTTCCTGGAGCTGGAGTTAAAGGCGTTTGAGAGCCACTCAGTGTAGGTGCTAGAAACTGAACTTTTGCCTTCTTCAGGAACAGTATGTGCTTTGGACCACTGTGGTGGCTTGAATAGGTATGGCCCCCATAGACTCATGTGTTTGAATGCTTGGCCCATAGGGAGTGGCACTATTAGGAGGTGTGGCCTTGTTGGAGGAAGTGTGTCACTGTGAGGGCAGGCTTTGAGGGTTTATATGCTCAAGTTTTGCCCAGTGTAGCACACAACCTCCTTCTGCTGCCTGTGGAGCAAAATGTAGAACTCTCAGCTCCTTCTCCAGCACCATGTCTGCCTGCATGCCTCCATGCTTCCCACCATTGATTGACAAGAATGGACTAAACCTCTGAAACTGTAAACCAGCCCCAATTAAATGTTTTCCTTTCTAAGAGTTGCTGTGGTCATGGTGTCTCTCCACAGCAACAGAAACCCTCACTAAGCCAACCACTAAGCCGTCCTCTAGCCCCTAATTTGAAAAATGTGTTTGTGCATGTGGAAGCTAGAGGGACAAACTTCGGTGTCATTTCTCAGGAATACTGTCCACCTTATCTGGGGGATGGGAGCTGTCGTCCGTCTGGAACTCACCGGCTAGGCTAGGCTGACTGGCCAGCAAGCCTGAGAGCTGCTTGTCTCCACCTCTGCAGTGCTGGGATAACTAACAAGTGCATGCTGGGATAACTAACAAGTGCATGCTGGGATAACAAGTGCATGCTGGGATTACAAGTGCATGCTGGGATAACAAGTGCATGCTGGGATTACAAGTGCATGCTGGGATTACAAGTGCATGCTGCATGCCTACCTTCCTATGTGGATGCTGGGGATCAAACCCAGCTCATCCTGCATGCATGGCAAGCACTTCACTCGTCGAGCCATCTCTTCGGCTCCCGGTTTCTGAGTCTGACAAGTGCACACAGTTGTGAAACCACACGCAGGGAAGTTCCTCCACGCTTCCTGTGTCGATGCACTGTGTCCACGCCGATGACTAATGTGTTTGCCATTCCCGAGCGGAATCGACCACGCACGGACACGTCTTTCCCTTTCATTCTACGCAGTGCTCTTGAAGTTGCCCGCGTTGTAGCGGCGGGTTGTTCCCCTGCTGCCGGTGTGTCCGAGCGTGTGGATAGGCTGCCTCTTGTTCCCATCTCAGCGTTTATGAAAGTTGCCTGAAGGAGCTCACACAGCTCTCTGAATAGCCGGGTTTTCATTTCTTTCTGGTAGCTGGCCCAGAATAGGATGCTTCAGGTCATTTGGCAGACGCACATACAGCAGTCTCTAAGTGTTGGGGGATGCTGTCCTGTCTGTATTTCACCAGCAATGTGTGAGTGCTTGTGTCACACCCTGGTTTTGTTTTCGTATTGTGTTTGGTGGTGCTGGGGATTGAACCCTGTGTCTTGTGTATGCTAGACAAGCACTCTACCACTGAGCCACAGCCCAGCCCCACCACATCGGTGGTAACGTCGCGTTTTGAATTTTTGTCGTTCTAATTGTTTCGCCGTGGTTCGAATTTGCATCTCTCCATGACAGGATGTTGAACATTTTTTTCACCTCTTTGCTGAAGTGTTTTCAACGCTTTTTATTTATTCGTTTTAAAGAGCAGGCTGTTTCTATGCTTATATTATGTTTGGAGAATTCTTTGTCTTTATTTTCAATTTTTACCTATGTGTCTGTGTTGTCTGTGTCTGTGGGTGTGCCCACAGGGGTGCAGGTGCCCACATGGGTACAAGTGCCCACAGGGGTGCAGGTGCCCACAGGGGTGCAAGTGCCCACAGGGGTGCAAGTACCCACATGAGTGCAGGTGCCCACAGGGGTGCAGGTGCCCACAGGGGGCAGGTGCCCACAGGGGTGCAGGTGCCCACAGGGGGGCAGATGCCCACATGGGTGCAGGTGCCCACAGGGGTGCAGGTGCCCACAGGGGGGCAGGTGCCCACAGGGGTGCAGATGCCCACAGGGGGCAGGTGCCCACAGGGGTGCAGGTGCCCACATGGGTGCAGGTGCCCACAGGGGGGCAGGTGCCCACAGGGGGGCAGGTGCCCACAGGGGGGCAGGTGTCCACAGGGGGGCAGGTGCCCACAGGGGTGCAGATGCCCACAGGGGGGCAGGTGCCCACAGGGGGGCAGGTGCCCACAGGGGTGCAGATGCCCACAGGGGTGCAGATGCCCACATGGGTGCAGGTGCCCACAGGGGGGCAGGTGCCCACAGGGGTGCAGGTGCCCACAGGGGTGCAGATGCCCACAGGGGTGCAGGTGCCCACAGGGATGCAGGTGCCCACATGGATGCAGGTGCCCACAGGGGCTGGAGGCTTCCAATCACGGGGAAGGAGGTGCTGGAGTTATTTGTGGTTGTGAGCCTTCTGATGTGAATGCTGGGAACTGAATGCGAACCCTCTGTATTCAGCTCTGAGCTGTTGTTAGAGTTTTTTTGCCTGGCCCACAGTCAGGACAAATCTCTCTCACCCGCCAGTCCCAAGCCGCTCAAACCCGATCAAGTAAACACAGAGACTTATATTGGTTACAAACTGTATGGCCGTGGCAGGCTTTTTGTTAACTGTTCTTACAGTTTAAATTAATCCATTTTTATTAATCTATATTTTGTTATGTGGCTTGTGGCTTACCGGTACTTTATATCTTTTTTATCCTGATGGAGGCTGGCAGTGTCTCCCCCCACCAGCTTTCTGTTTTCTCAATTTTCCTCTCTGTTAATCCCGCCTATACTTCCTGCCTGGCCACTGCCAATCAGTGATTTATTCATTGACCAATCAGCAACACATTTGACATACAGACCATCCCACAGCACTGAGCCATCTCTCTGGCCCCACATTTTGAAAATTCTTTAAATATTATTGGCCTAAGTCCTTTCTTAGACATTGTATTTACAAATACAAGTGAATATTGTCTCCCAGGTACTCTGAAGGATTTAGTGGGAAGCAACTCTTGTGTTTCAGGTGGGTGGATGGAGAGAGAGGGACAGAGACAAAGATTCTGTCTCCAAGTCTAGGCGAGCGATGAGGGTGTAGAGACCTGAGACACAGACCCACGGGTGGCAGGAGAGGCCCCTTTACTCTGATGAGCCCTCTCTCCCTCCTTCATCCTTTGACTAAGATCTGTAGCATAGCCACGCAGCCCCGGGTCATGATTGAGGGTTCGGAACAAAAGCATGTAACACCCACAGCCCTGTCTCCATGGAGACCCTGCCTGTTCAGTGGGGGAAAACAGGCAGTCACTGAGAGTGTGACGCATGTGACAATGGCCGCTAGCTGCTGTTGGTCATGGGTAGCTAGGGGTTCCTATAAGAAAACCATTTCCAAGTTGCCTGCAGGATGGAGATATAGTCCTGAGCAGGGGCAGGGTGGTCGACTCCTGGCTCACTATCTAAACGGTGGAAGGAGCATGGGACTGAGGTTGGAAGCTCAGGGGTGCCGGCCCTGACCCTGGCCTTAGATGACCTCATGCAAGCTTGCCCTCCTCTCTCTAGGCCTCAGTTTCCCTCTCAGGGCAGGGCTGTATTATCTTCCAGATGCTATGGTTTTGTTTATTTGATTTTTGAGAGGACTCACTCTGTAGCCCAAGCTGTCCTGAAACTCACTATGTAGCCCAGGCTGACCTCAAACTGATGGTGATCCCCTTACCTCAGCTTCCCAAGTACTGAGGTTCCAGGCATGAGCCACTGTACATCAGTGGCCGATTTTCTTTGGTCTTTTCTTTCATTTTTAGACAGGGTCTCACATAGCTCCGACTGGCCTCAAGTTCACTGTGTAATTGAGGTTGGCCAAACTTCCCACCTCTACATCCCAAGTACTGAGATGGCACGTGCCACCACGGCCAGCTTGCTCGGTTGTTTTTTTGTGTGTGTGTCTGTTTTGCATGTATATAAAATGTGTTTGTGTGTGTGTGTGTGTGTGTGTGTGTGTGTGTGTGTGTGTGTGTGCCCGCCCATGCACATGTGTTTATATGTGTGTGTGTGTGTGTGTATGTGTGTGTGTGTGTATGTGTATGTGTGTGTGTGTGTGTGTGTGTGTGTGTGTGTGTGCCCGTGCACATGTGTTTATATGTGTGTGGAGGCCTCAAGTTTATATCGGGTGTTTTCCTCGACCACTTTCTGCTTTATTTATATTGAGTCAGAGTCTCTTGCTGAGGCTGGACTTCACCAATTCTGGCTAGTCTAGTTAGACTTTATGTGTTTTTCCCTTGGAATTCTTATAAGACATTCTGACTGCGATGGAATGGGTACAAAGTAGAGACCCCTTCCTTAGAAAGGGGTCCTTTCCGGAGGTCATGAATCTTGGCCTCTCAACCAAGGTAGGATTCCCTGTGATGCACGGCTAACAGCCACCTACTCATCCACCCATGGATGGGGAACTCACTGTCTTGCGAGGGATTGTGTCCATATTTTTCTTTCTCTCTTTTTTACAGGGAACGGATTACACCTTTTACAAAGGGCAAATGCCCTCCAACTGTGGATTACAATTCAGATCCTGTCCCTTAAAGTCACTCGCCGAGGACAGCCTGATGCGACCAGAGGGCCCAGGGCCTGAAGAGAAATCTCGGGATGGGAGGATGGGAAAGGAAGCAGGGGTCTCGGAGAATGCCTGGGAGAGGGGAGAGACCAGGAGGGTCACCTTTGCGGCAGCCCTGTGGCCAAAAGTCACAAAGTCTGCTGGGACAGTGGGGGGCCAGGTATCTTGTTACAAGAGATCCATTGTCCTGAGCATTCCAGTCAGCTGGTGACATGAATTTGGGAGCCAGACAGTAGGTGGGGGGAAGAGGGGCATGTGGGTGACTCCCTGGAAACCTTCCATTATTAAGCCAGAGCGTGGGTACCCAGCTCATTGTTGTCCCAGAGGAGGTGGGAGCGGAACATTTGCCACGCAGCAGTCTAGGCCCCTGCAGGAACACCCCACCTCCATGCTAGGATGCTTCGGGAAGCTCAACAGGGCTTCCTGCAAGGAGGAGACTGCAGACCTCCAGGCAGTGTCCGGCAACTGAAAGAGCCTCTGCACCCCAGAGTCAGCACTGTGGGCACACAAGTATAGTCAGGTGGGTCTATGGGGGGGGGGGGGGGAGCGACAACATCCTGCCTTGCTTCCCACACTGTTTACATCAATGAGAGCTGAGGGGGGTTGGGGGGAGAGGGTTGTCCCCAGAGAAGAGGGTGCTGGGACCCAGTGGACTCAGCCACAGAACTCACATAATAAAACATAGTAGATACTTCCTTCAGAGCGGGTTTTGTCTCCCCAGTCGCTTCCTCACTTATGCTAAAGTGGCTCTTCTGGGGGGAGAGAAACCGTCTCTACTCACAGAGATAATAAAATCCTCTCTGTAAAAGCTGACCCCACTGACTCTTCAAACTGGCCTGACAGTTAATTTAGCAAGGTAACAGAAAATTAGACCAGTCTATCCGATGAACTTTCCATAGACTAGAAACACAGCGCTGCAAACTGAAATTTAAAATGTCATCTGTAGTAGCTAGGGAGCCCCTGACTCTGCCTCTTGGGGTTAGAGCACACATCATATCATCTAGCTTTTCTGTGGGTCTTGGGTCTCATATAAAATAAAAAATAAATCTTTTTTGAAAGTTAAAAAATAACCGCAATAAAACTTGGAAAAGACTACCTTATAGAATGAGTGCATTTTAGGAAATATTTTGGCCAGCTCTTGTATCACTGGCACTTGCCATCACCATAGAAAAGGTGAGCAGATTGGAAACCCTTGCCTTTGTAGGTGAGAACCCTGGGAAGTTTGTTTAAATACTTTGCCCGGAGGTAACCAATGAGCTTGCACGTGTTACAAAAGTCACACGTGTGCTATAGGATTCCCACCTCTTACAGGCTCGTCAGATGGCCAGGGCAGGCTTTACGAGAAGTCCCAGGGACACCACACCTGCAGGAGCTGGTATATCAAAACCCCCAGCTTCTCGGTGCTCGGGCAGAGCTGAAGTGTGCTCTCCACAGGCTTAGGTGACCCTAGTTGCCCACAGGGCAAGCTGACTGACAGTGCTCACTCCCACTGCCATTCCTCCCCACTTTCCTCCTGGTGTTTTCTTTACCTCCTAGTAAAGCACTTGTACGCAGGTCTTTAGCTCAGGGTTGGGGGGTGGCGTCTGGGAAAGGACATACCAAGATGAACACTGAACTGACATCTTTTCTGACAGCCCAGTGGGTCGTTAGTTCACACCCTGGTTTGGGCACCTCAGTTTGGAGACCACTCTTCTACTCCCCGGCAAAAGTTACACCTGTCTCCGATTGTAAAAGGCTCCTTTGAGTGTGAAGCAGATGTGAGGCTTCTTGTCTTTAGCCTTCCACCTGGACAGGGCTTGAGCAAACACTTGAAAGCTGAGGTTTGGAACCTGGACCCTTCTGAGGCCTCTAGCAGCCCATGGAGAAGGCCATCATGGAGGGGGTCATGAGGCTGGATCCTGGCTCTGCCCACTAAACTCCAGGCAGCTCCATATTGAGTATATGCTGGACTTTTCCTAAATGATTTGTTTTGGGGAACAAAGAACTTTATAGCCAGCAGCACATAAACATCTAGTAACCATCCATTCTAGTTCCATCTCTGAGGAGCCGGGCTGAATGAATGTCAGACACATAAATCTTACAAAAGTTGCATCAGGTTCTAACATTTCTCTAATTGCCCAGCAATTTCCGTCACTCAGGTGTGGAATCCTGCCAGGTTGTGAGATGTCCTGAGCAGGGAGAAGTTGCCCCTTTGAAGTCATGCTATCAGACCCCACAATGTGGACCACCCCTGATACAATGAGCTGGGCATCTCATGAAGACAGTCCTGGTCTAAATCATAGTGCCCAGCTAGTGCCCAGGAGCAGGTGGGTACTGGCGATGCTTTGGTAGAACTGAGCATGACTTGTATGGCTGTCGGAGAAAGTGAGGTTCAGACTGGCATACATTCGCGGAGGATGCCCAGCACCGGTCCTTTACTAAACACAGAACTGCGTTTTTCTTACCAACCGAGGGTAACGGGTCGATCACTATGAACGCTCTGCAGTGCGTTCTTGGGGAGTCCATAGCGTCACCGGGGCTGAAATCCAGGGCCGTGTGCATGCAAAGCCAACACTCTCCCTATGCTGGCTAGTTTTGGTTTCAACTTGACATGTGCTAGAGACATAAATGCCTCTGTAAGATCGGGCTGTAGTCAAGAATGTAAGCATTTTCTCAATGATGTGGGAGGGCCCAGCCCATTGTGGGTGGTGCCACCCTGGTAGTCATGAGTTTTATAAGAAAGCAGGTTGAAGCCTGGTGTGGTGACCCACGCCTTTAAACACAGTGCTTGGGTGGTAGAGACAGGTGGATCTCTGTGAGTTTGAGGCCAGCCTGGTCTACAGAGTGAGTTCCAGGACAGTTAGGGCTGAAGAGTGACCCTGTCTTGAAAAAGAAAGAAGAAAAGCCATGGTGAGTAAGCCAGCAAGCAGCACTCCTCCACAGCCTCTGCATCAGCTCCTGCCTCCTGGATCCTGCGCCCTGTGTGAGTTCCTGCCCTGGCTGCTTTTGATGATGAACTGTTATATGGAAGTGTGAATGAAATAAACCCTTTCCCCCGCAAGTTGCTTTTGGCCATGGCATTTTGTCACAGCAATAGTAACCCTAACTAAGACACTACCACTAAACTATAACCTCAATCCCAAGACATTTTTTTTTTTAAAAAAAAAAACAGTCTTGTTATGTTGCTCAAGGTGGCCTTAAACTCACCTGCTTGAGTGACTGTCCTCTTCAGTACCCCGAGTAGCCAGGATCATCGGCATGTACCACCATGCCTGGGGCCCCTTTCATCCAGACTTTGGATCTTTGGTCCGCATCATTGTGAGCAGCTTAGTAAGAACTGCCCAAGCCTGAGCAAGCCTGGCTCCCACTTCTGGCCCCACTGTATCCTTTACTCGGAAGGTGCTGTATCCAGCTTGGCTCTGGGAGTTCCTCCTCTTCCATTTACCTGTTGCTCAGGCCCTACTGGTCCACTCTCTTCCTAGACCCCTGCAGACTCATCCAGAGAAAGGGGAGTCAACTAAACTGAGGACAGATGGGGTGTAGAATGCTGGGGGGCTTTGAGAGGTGACTGTCCTGGACCTAGGGGTGTGGGGCTACTTCCTGCTGACCTTGCATTTAGGTGTGTGCTGAAGACATCTGATACATGGTGTGTAGACAAATTTCTAAGTAGTCTTATTAAATAAAAAACACAGAGCCAGAAACAGGGGTGAAAATCTGACAGAGATCAGAGGAATCGAACAGCCACCAGCTAACCTTATCTCACTACACCGCAGCTTCCAAAGTGCGAGCTTCCTGTCTACATGCACCTTTATTGCCTTGCTGTTCTGCCCTCTCATTGGCTCTTAGCCCAGCTACCTCACTTCCTTGTCACTGCCTGTCTGTACAGACCTCCAGGTCTCTATGGTTGGTACTGGGATTAAAGGTGTGTGTCACCACGCTTGGCTCTGTTCCCTAATATGGCCTTGAACACACAGAGACCCTGCCTGCCAGGTGATCAGATTAAGGGCGTGTGCTACCACTGCCTGACTTTTGTGTTTACTTAAAATGCCCCCTATTTCCTCTGATCTCCAGGCAAACTTTATTTATTAACAAACAAATAAAATATCACCACATGGTGTGTTAGGAAATGTTCAACAGCTGCCTCTCAGAACAAAACAGGATGATGTGCCCGTGATAGTTAATTTTATGTGTCAACTTGTCTGTCATGTGGTATCCAGGCATTTGAGTAATAAGCATTACTCTGTCATTTGCAATCTTGTCTTACTTCATGTGGGTAGTTGGGTCTTGGCCAGTCAGCAGAAGCCTTGAGTGCTGAAGACTTGAGTGAGGACAGTCCTCCTGCCCAGTGACTGGAGCAGGGCTATCCGCCATCTTTTCCCACCTTTGTATTAGAGCGGAAGCATCAGTTCTTTCTTTCAACTGAAACTGTTACTACTTTTCCTGGAGAGGTGCACAGAAACACCAATTTGCTCCAGGTAGGACATCAGCAGACCAAACAAGCTTTTCCATTCAAGCCCAACTCGTAAACGAATGAGCCTGTTAGGGTTCCTAACAGCAGCATAGGTGGAGGGTTACTTATGGGGGGGGGGGGGGGTGACTCAAAGGCAGCAACATCACAGCAAAGTCCCATGCCAACATGGGAACTCTGAAAAGCTATGTCACTGGAACCCCCCTGTCAGCCTTCCACCTTATAGACTCCAGTACCTCCCCAGATCACAGGAAGCTGGGAGGAGACAGCAGGGAGTGGTGCCTGGAATCATAGGTTAGGTTCTGATGATGCTGCCTCTTTCTTCAAGGGAATGCTAATAGGCCCGATCTTGTCAAGGGCCCTGCAGGTAACCACAGATGATCTGATATCAAGACAGATCAAGGTCAAGTCGTGGCCCGGGGGACAGAGATCAAAACAAGCCACACCACTAGCTCTCCTGGGTCTCTAGACCTTGGGCCAAGGCTGTCTCCACAGCCTTCTAAGCCAACACTGGAAATAAGCATCTCTCTCTCTCTCCTCTCCCTTCTTGCCATTTCAGCTGTTCCTCTGACTACACCACCAGCTTATGGCAAGCTTGATTGGCAGAGCTTGCCAGGTTCCACAGTGGAACGCGTGACTAGGCTACCCACACCACTGAGCTAGTGACATCTTCAGTGTGAGACGTGACAATGGCATTTGTATTGCCCCAGTCTGCCACTGTTCGTACTCTTTCCTCAGAAGAGAACAGATTTGATTTGTGGGGTTCCTAAGAGTTCCAAGGTCACACACATGAGGTCTCCCACTTTCGGCTTCTAGGTCAGCAGTGAGCAACCACTGGCCTGAATGTCTCCCTCTTACACACCCTGGCACTCCTGCACATGACCCAGTTGACAGTAAGATAAGGTCCCTTGCTTCTTCTCTGGCTGCCTCTCCCAGGTCCCAGTCCTTGGTTTCAGGCTTAGAACTAGGACTGGGACACCGGAAGAAGCAACTCTGGCCAGAATGACACATAGAGTCCTGGTCCAACTTACCAGGGAGCTCTGAGCCCAGCTATCACA